CACCAGTTCAGTGGTGACCATATGGAAATTCGATGCGAATCGGAAGAGTCTCAGCGTGAAGCAACAATTGCATGGCCACACGGATGCGGTGACCTGTCTGGCGGCCAGTGCTGCCTACAATGTCATTGTCTCCGGCTCACGCGATGGCACCGCAATCGTCTGGGACATGTCTCGATTTATATTCGTGCGCCAATTGCGCGGACACGCGGGCGTTGTGTCCGCTGTGGCCATTAACGAGCTGACCGGCGAAATTGCCACCTGCTCGGCCACCTGGCTGCACGTGTGGTCGATCAATGGCGATGCCCTGGCTATGGTCAACACGTGTGTGGGCAGCGCCGATCGCATGCAGCAAATACTTTGTGTTGCCTTCTCACAAATTCGTGAATGGGATCAGCAAAATGTGGTCATGACGGGCTCCACAGATGGTGTTGTCCGGGTGGGTGACAAAGTCAATATATACCTTATACAGCTTAAACAATCTTATTTTTCTAGATGTGGTCACTGGAGCACATCCAAGTGCCCATTGATCGCAAGCTCAAGCGCGGCGTGGAAGTCAACTCGCAGGACAAACCCGACGCTGGCTCCGTCGATGATACCAACAATAAGTCGACCAAAATGAACATTTTCAAGCAAATGAAGAGCCTCTCTCAGCCGGAACCGGAGCATGGTTAGTTTATCACAACCATCAACTCCATTCAAAAATATCAATTAAAACTTAAACACACTTTACAGAGATTGTGAAATCCGCCTCAGAGAGCAGCATTTCAGAGGCCTCACAGCACAGCAATGAGTCCAGCAAATCTGCGGAAGCAACTGCCAAAGTGGAACCCTCGACTGAGCGTAGAAAGAGCTCCATAAGTGGGGCGAAATCGTTGCATGAAATGAAATCGGCCACGGTGGAGGGTCCCAGCAGCAGCAGCACAGAGCACAAAACGAATGAGGGTGAGGGCAAAAGTGTTGCTATTTATGTGATTAATATATATATATATATATATAAATATCAGACTATTATATATGAATGTATACATTGATGAGTGTTAGCAGTCGAATCGATATAGCTGTATCTGAATATAGTTTTATCATCACAAAACTCTGCAATATTCAAGGGTATTTACTCTTCGGCATGCCGAACAGACTCTTTTATTCTTGTTCATACTTTCTAATATTGAGTTTTTGTTGTTCACAGAGGAGCACAACATTCGACCTAGCAAATCCGATACCAGTTTAACGGACGGCTTCGTTCTGCTGGACAACGACAGATATCGTGGCGAGCAGGCGCTTCGTAAAGGTGCTTAAACTCAATTTCTTAACATTTTTTCCCATCAAATCCAAACGCTTGGCACTTACACAAATTTTACCTATAATTCTTCCTAGGCTTTAAATGGCAACGTCAATTAATGTTCAGATCAAAGCTAACCATGCATACGGCCTATGATCGCAAAGATAATGCCGAACCGGCTAGCATAACAGCTCTGACGGTATCCAAAGATCATAAAATACTATATGTGGGTAAGTGTGCCAGCGAAAGATTGAACCAAAATATAAATGATACTGATCATCATTAAAACTTGCATATATTACAGGGGATACACGTGGTCGCATTTTCTCATGGAGCGTTACGGAGCAGCCGGGTCGTGGCGTAGCCGATCATTGGCTAAAGGATGAGGTTGCCGATCAGTGTGTCAAATGTCATGTGAAGTAAGTTGAGCTCAGCTCATTAATAGTTTAGCATTCCATATATTTTAACTGGCAGAGGGAGGTATCTAAGATCTCACAATGATCTGAGACGTTTAGCTTTATTGTGATCATATTTCATATTACCAAGCGCAGATCATGGTGTATTCCAAATAATCCAAAATAAAATGTTGTCTGTTTTTTTTGTGTATTCTCACAAATTTTAAGAGTTAGAGATACACAGCATTTTGTATTTAGGTACAATACGGGACATAGATTCTCATCTATCGCAATTTTAGCTAAGGAAATGTTTAAATGTTTTGATATATATCTCATTCCTATTCAGATTTACACTGTATGAACGGAAGCATCATTGCCGCAACTGTGGCCAGGTCTTTTGCAACAAGTGCAGTCGCTTCGAGTCGGAAATATCGCGTTTGCGCATTCTGAAGCCTGTAAGGGTATGCCAGGCCTGCTATAGTCAGCTGCGCACGAATTCGCTGGACAATTAATTAACAATTAACGAATTGTAATAACCGGAGTTTACTTTATACCTTACACTACCGTAACTGTTAAAAGACGTTAGGGGCATTCTTTTAAATACTACTACTACTTATTTATTTATATTGTATAATTGTATATTAATTTTTAATATATTTAACCAAAAACAAAAAAAAAAACGATGTGTTGCGCTAAAAACAACCAAAGGCTGTTATTATATGATTTTAAATATGTTTTTTTAATTATACAAAAAGAAAAGTGTTGCAATATTATTTGATATCTAATTTATACTATTTATTATACACCGAATAAAACAATATAAATATTGCTTATACGCCACAATCATTGACAATTTGTAGTAAAGTAATTAAATTGTGTAATTATATAAATTAAAACAAAAAAAAAAATTTAGTGTGTGTGAATTTTTGTGCATGTACTAAAGCTGCTTAGCGATGCGACCAGCGCACAATAAATATTGTTATTTAAAGAAACCTTAATAAATATAATTGTATAGGGAATGTATGTAGTATCAGAGTACACACACACATAGAACCCAAATCAATAATTAGCTAACCAAATAATGCAAACAAGCACCGCCAGTTATATCAATTACAAAAGTGAACTTTAAACAATTTTCTAGTAAATATATAATCGAACCAAACAAATTTGGAGACAGCATTTTACTGGGCAAACAGAACACCTAATTAGCACACACAACACTCGAACCTCACACTAAATATTTGTACACATATACAACAAAGTGAATGAAATAAATAAAAATAAAAAAAAGAAACTACTTAGGCCGAGTATTAAATAAAAGACACTTTCGAACGAATTAAAACAATTAACTTAAAAGCAATGATAAATGTTGATGTATTAAATGGGTCCGTAATTTAAAGCAATATTGAAAATTGCAAATTAACTAAATGAAATCTTTAAAAAAAAATACGCTAAAGTCCTATCAAAAATGTAGTAAACATTAATTTATGCTGTCGAATGTTTTTCATTTCCAATTCTTAATTATTTATCTTAATACCATTTTCAACTTTCTAAACTATCGAATTTTTGATTTCATAAGTAGAAAACTTTCTCTTTGCTTTTCTTTATGATTTCAAGAATTTATGACAGTTAAATCTAAACTAAAATCTTTGTATATATATAAAAGATAAATAACGAAGCAAACAATAAATAATATTTAGCTGAAACAAAGTTTAGATAAATAAAATGGTCGTAGTGGTAAATAAAAAGATATTCGGTATTTTGTAGAGCATCTACATGTTGCATTGATAATAATTTACAAATATAATATACATGTGACAGCTATATACAAAAACTATTCAATTAAAACAATATAAACTCCCCAATTCTTGCATGGGAGACCGAAAACAATTAAGTACATTTTCGAAAAGACTTGAAGCACGAAATAGGAAAAGGAAAAATCAGCACATTCTACAACTAAAGACACACATTTCAAGAACTATCCAAAGACTAAAACCGAAATTCTAACATTTCAAAGAAAGAGCATCAAGAACAATTATACGAACGAAGGAACTCTAGCCAATTAAGTCCAACTCAAAAAAACACCATAGCAAAAAGAAAACACACGAAAAAAACGAACCCAAAAAATTCTTATAAACCATATAAAAACAAATATATATATATATATATATATACATATATTAATTGTTAGTTCGTGTCGTAAGAACATATGCGAAAAAGCAAAATACGATTTAATAAAATGAATAATGTTAAAAAAAAAACACTTGTTTTAATTCAGGCTTAAGTTTGAAATGTGAGAGCAAATTTGAATATATGGCTGTGATGAACGCTTTGTAACAAAAAATTACCTTTTAGATAGAGATGAATGCCTTTTATAGTAGTTGGAGCTTGTTGTTGCAAAGCTTTACAATACTCCATTGAGTAATAAAGAGATGGAGTATTGTAAAGCTTTGCAACAACAAGCTTTGCAATACTCTCAGTCTCTCTTCTTTTTTTTTTGTTCAAGCTCAAATTGCGCCATTTTTTGCAGAAAAAACAATTTGACCCCACGCATTAAATATTTTGAGTATGAACCGATATATTGATACATTTATATTAAATGAAACATTATTAACAAATACACGCGGCACAACATAACTGCAAATAATACAAGCTAATTAAAAAAATGAAAACGATTTTACACACACAAGACTCGCCCGCTTCATTAGGCAGACACGCACAGACTACATTAACTTCATAGGCTGGCGTCTGCGCTTAGCCGGCAATAACCAGAGAGCGCACTAGAGCACAAAAATGCTCTCTCATTGCATAAGCGCTCTTTCACTTATAACAGGATCAAAAGCACAAAGTCTATTGCGTGCACGATTGACAGGGCCGAATACTGATCATGCTTTAACACCGCTCGTTTACACTCAGAATATGGGCGCCATGTTGGTTTTATTTTTCTGCAATTGCATGCCTCTTATTTATTGAAGAACATGAAGTGTGGATTAACGTAAAGCAAAACAAGCCCAACAAGCACAATAAATATGCAATTAACACCAGCTTATTAAAAAATGAAAAAATCACACGCATGCGCAAAAGATTTGACTAGCCAACAGAGAAGACGCGCACAGACTAAATTGCCGCGTTCTACTAAGCAGGCAACTAGGCCATGCTGACATACGCAGTGCAAACTGTTATACAACTCTGGTGCTCTCTTCATATATAATGCTCGCTCCTTTCATTAAAGCTCTCGTACAAGAACGGAATCAAAAGTCACTAGACGCACGCAGAGCTCTGAAATTCCCGTCAATTTCCCAAAAATATAACAGTCGTAGCAGGAGTTTTGTTGTTGTATCTTTCTCCAAGAAGAGGACCATCTATAATATTTATTTGTGTGGTGTCATGCCTTCAATGTAACACATTGTATAAAAAATAATACCATCCGGTGGGAGAGGTGTTAGTAATTCGCGATTCTGGAATCAATTGATTGAAATCACGCGCCGATTTGCCGGATATGGAAGCGTCATGCTCTTTATTGCTGACGTCCATTGTTAACATGCCAAGACGGCTGCCCGGCGTTCCTATCACGCATGCAATAACCACCGGGACAGCAATTGCCACCAGGGCAACATGACGATTGGCCCGATCCATCCATGCGGGGACAGTTACCATTCAAGCAGTTAAAGCAGGAGCCATTTCCAAAACCGAACTGGCTGGGAGTTTTAAAAGGCGTATTTCCATCCATAGTCACTTAGTGCTAGATTTGGCGGCAAAAAATCTGATAAAGTCAGACGACGAATTATGGTTATTGCTCACCTGTTTTGATTTTGTCTCACAAGCCGGCAAATCAGTGCGTTATTTTTCAGGAAGACAAAATAACAAAACAAAAAAAAAAACTTTTGTGTTTAAAGACAACACTTCTGATTTGTTTAAGGTGTTCGAAATGAATGAGCCATAAAGCTATAAAATTCTCTACGTTTAGTCGAGAGAGGATGACAGCAATTCGTACGCTTGCTGTATTTCGAATTATTTTCGAACAATTTTCGAACTGAGGGCAGAGCGCATGCGCTATAACTGACAAAGTGGTGAGTTTTTCTGTTAAAGAGGCGTGGCCAAATGGCACACGCACACAATGAAAACCGTGCAGGGTCGCTGGCAAAGTGGAGCGAGCGGAGGTCTGGGAGTTTTGGGGCATAGAAAAAATGCGACTTCTTGATGCCGCAAATTTGGCATGTGTATGTGTGTGAGTGTGTATGTGTGTGAGTGTGTATGTGTGTGTGTGGCACGACCTGGGCTGACGGCAGGAGGCAGTAGGCAGGAGGTGGGCCAGCTGGTAGCAGAGTCTGAGTTAGGTAGTTAACGCAAACGTTGGCAAATGACTTTGCATTCTGACTGGTTAATATAACCACAGGATTGTATCGAAGCGACGGCTCTACTCTCATATGTGTGCGTGCGTGTGAGTGTACAGGTTGGGTGAGTCCATGGAGAGCCGGATGGGACTATATAACCACAGGCAACTAAATGGGCTGTGTAATAGCCGCCGCGCTGAGGTCCAGTCGCTTGTGCTGAACTCCGATTTACAAGACTCCACCCACAAAACGTAATCATATATAAGACGTTGTCCGCTAAGCCGGCTCCTGCCTACCCATAATACTCTCTCTCTCTCTATATATATATGACTAGTTATGTATATATACATGTGTGTGTGTGTGTGTGTGTGTGTGTGTGTGTGTGTGCAACCAATACACAATGTCACAAAAGTCATTTCAATTTAGATGCGAGTCAGTAAATCAACCCCTATCAACATACCAACAACAACCAGCCAGTGCCAGCCCAGAAAACGCCATTGCGAATTTCTCGACGCATACACGTACATAATAATCTCACTCACACACATACACACACACACACATACAGCAACACACATAGAAGTAAATGCATGCGTATATCGTGCATATGGCATTTCCTATCCCCAATAGCATACGCTACCTAGACCTTAGTGGGACTATACAACTTTTCTAAGTGGAGCATTATTTTGCAGACTCTGAAGTTTTAAGAGATATTGTTCTTATATTTAAAAGACATAAAAAATACCTAAAAAGGATAAAATTGTAAAAAAAAATGTTTAATGTTATCATAGATATTATTTTTATCATTTATATTATTATCAATATTATTATTATTCCTATATTTTGTATTATCTTTATTATTTTTATTATTATTATAACGTGTATTATAATTAAGTGTTTCTTTATCATTTTTATTATAATTATTTCCATCATTATTCTTGTTCTTCTTCTTTTATTATTATTTTTATTATTATTATTATCATTATTAAGTCTGTTATTATTTTTATTATTATTCTTATTATTATAATTACTATCATTATTATAATTCTTTTGAATATAGAACTTAAATGATTGAGGTCAATAAGTCCTGGTCAACCCTGTATGCCCCACTTTGTAGCGCCCTTACTGCTGAGATCCTGACTTTAGAACTAATAATCCGACAGCCTACAAGCGCAGGACGAACCAACCAAAAAAAAAAAAGGAAAACAGAAGAAAAACGAAAAAAGAAGAAGCCAGCGAGGCATCAGCCCGAAGAGCAGAAACAGCATCAGCAGCAGAAGTGACGACGCCTCTGCTGGCAAAGATATTTACTGAGGCACAGATACACAGGCAGCGTGTAGGAAAGAGCAGCATATACCGAGAGCAGGACAGCAGATATTATTACCAATACACAGGCAGTAGCGACGACGTCAACGCAAGCGACGACGACGACATCGTCGACGGCCTCGTTCCGTTGCTAGCTTTTCATCATTCTTGACATTTTGTGGTGAATTGTCGAAAGCCACAAGATATGTCGCAGTGTGCGTGGCCGGGACGCACATTAGTGTGTGTGTGTGTGTGTGTGCGCACAGAAAAAAAAAAAAAAGAAGGAAAATGGTGGACGGCAGGAAGTCTCCTCATTTGCTGTAATCGCATCAAGCGGCAGGCACAGAAAAAAGGGCGTTTTCCGGTTGGCTGCCCGCCTGTCCTGTCCTGCCCTGTCCTGTCCTGTCCTGCACCGTGTGCAATGCCCACTCGCAGGGGATGAAATGTAACATTTTGTAGCTTTTCGTAAATTTTCGACTTTTTCGTCGACGTTTTGGTTTTTCGCTGCCATCGTTCGCATCGCCTCGCCTCGCCTCGCATCGCATCGCGTCGCATCGCGCTGCGCTTTACCATTTTCATTTTCCTCATTCGGTTTCGGGGTTTTTTTTTTCACGCCCGATATTTTTCATATATCCCGCGACGCCCCGCACGGCTGTGGCTTTGTGTAGCATCACGAAACGGGGGTGTGTGGGTGGCCGAGGCGGTTGGCTGCTGCTGCTGCTGCTGCTGCCTTTGGCTTTGCGTCCTGCGTCCTCTGTCAAATTGACTGCAAAAAAGGACCTCTCCTTTGGCAGCTTCACTTTCGTAATTGGCGGTCTCTGCTCTGCTCTGTTCTGCTCTGCTCAGTTCTGGCTACGGCTCTGACTCTGGCTCTGGCACCGGTTCAGCTTCTGCTTCTGTTTCTGTTTCTGCTCCGTTTCGCTGCTGGCTGCGGCATTCACAGTTGGTCCGTCAGCCAAAACGATCCGCATCCGGTCCGCAGCAGCGTTGTCGTCGTCGTCGTCGCCGTCGTCGTCCTTTGCGTCGGCAAACGTAACCCAACATTTTTGGCGTGCGTTGGTCAAAAGTTGTTTTCGTGTTTCTCAAAGTGCTAATTGTTAACCCGCCTAATTCCGAACTGAAAATTGACTCAAACGCAGTCAATTAATTCGAGTGTTATACCCAGTTATTATAAACTTAAGCACGCTGGATACATTAAGCTTTAAATATTTCCATCAACGGAAAATGGGCACAGGTAAACAATGGGAAAAGTCATTATTTCATCAATCCGTCGGGAATTTCTTCAAATCTAGCAAAGCAGTCTGCCCAAGCAGACTTTTCTATAGCAAAAATATTACATAATCACAAGCCGTCGGCAAAATTAAGGGTTTTAAAAGTGTAAAACTTTTTTGAAATTGAATCTGGCGCAGTTAATTAAATATTTTAGGATATAGAAGCCAAAAAAAAATTAAATAAATACAATTTCTTATTGACATAGCTTAAAGTGTGAAAAAACTGTTTATATTATTTAACCAAAAGCCGTCAAAAAATTGTTTATGAAAAAAGTGAGAGAGATTAGAAAAAATTAAATTATATATTTTTTAAACTGTTAACTTCTTATCATGAGTATTGAATGAAGTTTAAATAAATACTATGTCAATATTCAAAACAAATATAACTAAAAGAAAAGTATTGCAAAAAAATAACATGTTAAGGCAATTTTAGAGTTTGTTTTGTTGTCTCAAAGTATAACTTGTTGTAAGATTAACTAATTAAAATATTTATGATTAAAGAAGGCCAACTTAAACAATTATATAAAATGATCAATATACTAGGGAAATTTATTATTGAACTATATTGAACCAGAATTGATAAGCAAGCTTGAATCTTGTTAATATGATTAAAGCATATAAATACTTTAAAGAAATAATATAAAATACATTATGTTTAATACGTTCAGTTTATTATTAATATAAATAGAATATTTATGTTGTTTTCGATGACCTTAATGTATATATAATGTATATAATGTTTGAGGTCCGGGCTTCAATTTATTAAAATATAAATAAAATTATTTTGTTTTTAAATAAATTTATTAATATGTTAAAATATAAATACAATTTTGTTTAAATGCATTGCAATATTATTATTTCTATTTGTTAAAACAAATTTGTTTTGTTTATATTTTAATAAATTAAACTTCAGCTTGCGAACCAGCTTATAAAATATTTAAAAAATGGAAGGATTCAACAATTAATTGATATCAGTAATAAAATGTTGTTGATATTAATTATTTTGTTTATATATATGATTTTTTTTTTAATAAAAAATGCTATTCTATTTCAAATTAATAATTATTATTTTAAATTCTTTTGTTATGCACTTAATAGTTTTCAAAAACAGAATATTTCCATTCATATTTTACAAAATATTTGTATTTAGCTTTAAACACATTTTTTTTTAAAGTGCATTTATATAAAAGCTATACATTACTGGGATTTTAGACTGCACAGTTAACACCCTTACCATTGCCATAACTTTGATATGCCCAATTCGCAATTCCCACGCCCAAACAATTAAAATCCCACGTCTGCCCACATCCCAAAGTCGGCAGCCCTTTTAGCCTATCAAAACAATGCCGAGATTTCCATACCAGTCAAAAAGCATATTGTATCAGTTAAAACTTAGATATAACCCGCTCACAGAAGGACACACACTAGCCGAAAGTTGACGCAACAAAAAAAAAAAAAAACACAGAAGCACGAAATGCCATGGCATAAATAAACAAAAATATTTAAAATCAACAATAAAAATGTTTAAAAAAGAAAACATAGCGCAAAGGATCACGCTCATTTGATATAGATTTTAATACAACCCTTAGGGGCCAGGGCGACAGCCAGGGCCATGGACAGGGGCAGGGGCAGGGGCAGTGGCAGGGCCAGTGACTGGGAGACGGGCACGCACAGCCACTCGAGAGGTGTTAACACGCTGCGGACAATTGCCGATGCGCAGGGTGTGAAAATTGGCAACACGCGTCGCAACCAAAATGCGGCTGGAGGCAACCACCCAGAGCAGACCAGGCCAGACCAGAGCCCAACCAAAACCCAACCAACAGTTGACAATATGTCAAATGTCACAGAACAAAGGGCCCAACAAAGGGAAACAATCGAAAACGGGCGCGTTTTATTTTGACAAGTGCCGAGTGTTCAACTTAATTTGTGAAGTGTGCCGGACCAAAAGGGCTGTAGCCATATAACTGGCATTATGTGCTAGCTTTGTGCAATTTTCACTTGCTAATCCGCGGCACACACACACACACAC